ACCGCAGTGTGTGCTATGACGACGTTTACTAAAACCTGTACTACCACTTGCATACCTAGATTCAGTGCATTCTATGAATATGCATACCATAATAAGATTAATTAACTATAAAATTATTGATGATAACTCATAGTCAAGTTAACATGCGTCACGGTAGGGCTAGTAATCGGGACCCATTCATCTGATATCTAGTGACTTGGTTAATGGGATATGAATCCAACTCAACTTAACCCACTACAATGAATCCTATAGTTGACGTAGTTCGCTACCGCAATGTGTGCTATGACGACGGCAAGTAAAACATGTACTATCACTTGTATACATAGATTGAGTATCTCGGGACACCCCTAAAATTTTGAGAAACGATTATTTCACTTGCGGCAGTAGTTTGCATATGGATAAAATAATATAATAGGTAGTCACAAAAAATTTGGATTTATGCAACTTTAATGTTTTTTCCTAGCTAGGATGAATTTTGTAAATATTTAGGTGGACAATTAGATAATACAATTTAGGTTAGACCGACTCCTGGTGTGCTTGTTAAACCAACTCAGAGTTGATTGTAATAACCACTCATTGAATTAATGAAATTCTAGGCTAGTTATAAGAAAAAGAATCGTGTTTACAATACGGAAGAATATGTTTGGGCTGGAGCCTGGAAGTTCGGATTCGTAATATTGATAGGCACTTTTGTGTTTTAGAGGGAATAGTATAAAAGCAATATAAAAATATATTTTACCATAATTATCTTCAATTTTAAGAATATTGATCATTCTTGGCTACAGATTTGATTGACAAGGATTACAATGCGTGAATTTTACCGCCAAGCTTCTAATTTAGGAATGACCGCCCTTTTTGTTTTTCCTCCATCCTTGTTAAAGTTTACCGCCAAGCTTCTCCAATTATATATCATATCACATGACCCGTTGGGCAGTGGCGCTGAAGACTCCTTTGAGAATTGAGATACGATCCCAAGAAACGTTGTTTTGGCCACAAGGTAAGTAATCAATTTTGCCTCTGTTTTCGCCTTTCGCTTATCGCTTATACTTGTGACCTTGCTATTTAGTTTATTAAATCGACAATATGTTTATGTCATGAATTTGCATTTTTCTTGAGTCCAGGACTGGGCAACCAGTATGATGAAATCTAAGGTACCAGAGAATGGTAAGAGTAAAGGTATAAATACGTGCATCTCATTGAAGAAAAAATCACAATAGCCATCTAAGGTTGCAATTGGAATGACTGGCCCAATTCCTAAGAGTAGATGCCACATGCAACTCAAGGCCAAACCTGCTACACAACCTCTCAGAGATGCAGTCCAAGTCTCAAAAAATAATGTTGGACATTCAAAAAAAAAAAAGTGTCTATTCTAAGCAAGAAGATTAGATCTTCACAACCTATTTCCTCGTAAAAATGCTAATGTTAAATGCAAAACACGCTACAGTGCAGTTTAGCAGCATCACCAGGAGAACCATATCCTACTTCTCTAGCTCTCCAATGTGGTACTATATGAGCCCAAAAAACCATATCCTACTTCTCTAGCTCTCCAATGCAGTAGTCCTCACTCAATTGAAAAGTTCCACTCGGATGTTGTGACCTGCAATCTCAAAAACCAGAATGGAATCAAACATTCCAAGTTGAAGAAACATAAATAGTTAAATATCATCCATAGTTTCTCTGATCACAGGTGGTTTTACTATGATGAAAACGAGAAAGAGGATGAGAGAACACAGATATAGATGATCATGGATCAAGTAATTCAATTTTGTCCCCAAAAAATAGGACAGACAAATCTACGATGTCGTAGGTCAATCTCCAAAGCTACTCGGAGATGGTTAACTATCCCTTTTCAAACATAACAAATCAGGACACAGCAAGCACAAGTTCGGACAAAGAACTCACAACCTAACATGAAGCTTTTGCTGCCTATTCGTGACTAGTTCTATCTATTCTGTTATCCAACATTACATGGCCAATTGATTTAGAACCATGAAATCTATTTCAAGTCGTCTAAGATGCAGCACACACAAAATAATAGCTAGTCAAGTACTAAATGTTCTACACAAAGAAAGATTGCAGGAGCATTCATAATTCAGATATCATACCGTGCTCACTCATCTCCTATGCACTGTCGAACTAACATGTGCACCACAAGTAATCATTATTGGTTTCATATAATTAATTTGCAGAACAGTAATTTCCTAAACGGATTACCAGGAATTGGAAGCTCATGTCACCAAGTAAAAGAAAAGAACAAGAAGGAAACCGCAGGGGAATAGAGAGAGGGAAGAAGAAAAAGTGCAGACAAGTTTGGTATGAGGTAAACCAAAGCAAGAACAAGGAAACCATGCTTTTCTTTTAATAATTTGTCGTTGCAATTTTCTTTTTGCAATTTAGACCCCAAGAAAAAGCACAGCCATTACCAAATAAGAATATCATGTCCTCCTCCAGAACTTATATGCAATGTTGAAAAGAGATTTCACAATTTACCCCAAACTGTAGCTCGAAATATAACTCCAATGAACACTATTGAAAGCTGAAAAATACTAACCTGCCTGCAATTCATGATTTAAGGGGAAAATGTGCAAGTTGTTGCTTTGAATGAATGAAGCTTCCTCACTAATACAAAAATCTCCAATTTCTTATAACATAATATACCCTTATCGCAACATCTCCAACCCAAACCATCTTCAAAGAAATTATTCCTTTCCCTAATCCCCCTCCCTTTTCCGACACTCACGACATGGAATTCAAACCACACACCAAAACAAAGAAACTTCAAAAGAATCAACATAAAAGTGGGAAAACATACATTGTGGAGGAACTTACAAGGAAACCAAGGATTTGAAGCAAAAAACTCAATCGTCTTTCAATCTAGCGAAAAATTGGGATTAGATACAGAAGCAAAGCTGTCGGAGATTGCTGGCCGGTTGCAACTCCAAAAAGTGGCTGCTCTGTTCCTTTTCCGGGCTGGAGAAGAAAAGATTCGCGCCAATCTTTCTCCCTTTTTACCTTTTGCGCGAATTGTTTCATTATTTACTTTTTTTTATTAATGCTTCGGCCCGTATATGTTTCACGTTCTGCCGTATGAATGCAAAACGGAGTTGGAAAAGGGATTCAATAGTATTAAATGATTAACTATTAACTAATAATAAAGGTACAACTCCTTTCTTTTTTGTTCTTCGATAGTGACTTAGTGAGAGTTGTAGTTAGTTTGAAGTCATATACTTAGTTAATAGATAATAAATATTAAATCGATAAAATATGTAACACTTTTTGTTAAATGTTGCCTAAAATATACGTATGTGTAACACAAATTATTTTATTTTACAAATGTTGCATATTCTTAGGTATACGCAACAAAATTTATCGTGCGGTTATTTGTGTTGTATAAGATATATATTAAGCGACACAAAATGAAAGTGTTGCCTATATTTATTTTATGTGACACTTCTAAAAAATGTTGCACGATGAGTGTTGCTAAATGCCACTTTTCCCGTAGTGACATGACCACTGAATAGCACCCTCCCGGTAAGGCCTTCTGTAATGAGGAACATGAACGGGTGATCGGCTACAAAGTCAATCCTCTCAGGTAAACTTCTGCTACATATGACACCAACAGAAGTAGCTGCAGCTTCTGTGCCTTCTTCATTTACTTCAACGACAGATTTGTGAAAGAGGCTCGACAGACTTAGGGTACTACTGCCCACAACAGATGAATCCACCATCTCATTCAACTCTGCTTCATTAGAGAAAGGCAGAACCAATCCTAATCCCTTCAAGGTATTCCAAGCGTCAAACCCGAATGACAGTTTGAACCTTGGAATCCTGAACTCACCCACTAGTTCTCGACGTCGTGGAATGTGACGACTAGAGAAGCCAGGTTCAGAACCCGCTCTCTCGACCAGTGCAGGCAATCCATGTTGGGAATCAGGAAGGAAGATGTGCATTGAGAACCCTGGTTTGTCTTCTTCACCTTGCTTATAAGGAAGGGAAAGGACCTTGAAACCATTGTATTCAGCAACAAATGGGTTCATCTTGCTAGTCATAAATGGTACTCTCACTGAGCTACCATTCAAGAGGTGGAAATCATGGTCTCTATGCATCAAACTTCTGCTTCCAGCCTCCTTTGAAGTAAAGGGCACTGCTCAAAACGAGCCTCGTCGTGCTCTCAATAGCGCCAGGAGGAAGAACTTTGATGAGACCATTTGTGTGCTTCTCAGCCCATTTATTCACTTCAGCAGTCGCTTCAACTGCCTGCATGCATCCTCTCCAAAAATGTTTAATACACATAATCCTTGCAAAATAATTAAAGAAGCAATTTCCAAGGCTCAATTACCTTAGCTTGGAAGTCGACTTCATGACAAGTAGCCTTGTACCCATCGCTCACAATGTGTTTAAAAGATCGCCTCAAAGGAAGTGACTTGTCCACCCAAACCCCATTAGCAAGCAACAGTTTTGGACTTTCTCGATCTCGACTGCTGGCGCTGCTTCCCTCAGCCGAAACGGAGACGAGCTTGCTGGAGATGGAGTTGAGATGGTCGATCAACTTGGCCTTGAGGAAAGGCAGCAACGGTTTTCGACCTTCTCGACTGGCGCTTCCCTCAGCCAAAATGGAGACGAGCTTGGTGGAGATGGAATTGGGATCGTTGATCGACTTGGCCTTCAGGAAAGACAGCAACTGGTCTTCAGTGGCACCCCTTGATCCGGCAGCAAGGAGACTCAGCACGACGTGGATCGACAGCGGAGAAATCACTGCGTTTGAGTTCTTAGCTTCCGTCAGTAGAACGTGCTTGGAGATGGCCAAAGCTACGTCTGGTTGGAGCTCCATCCTCGGAATTCCTCAGTGAAACAAACGGGGATTCTGGAGGTGAACTTTTTTTCTGCCTGGTAAGTTTCGCAGTAGTCTGCTGCTCTTATAAGTAGATAAAAATTTCGAATGTGGCAGTCATAGGGAGCTCCCTCTGTCTCTGTTTGACACGTAGTCTTTGTTAATATTATCTGCCATAGATAGTCATCTCAATAATCAACATTCTTACGTGTAAACGTCCAAATCATAGTTCAACTATTTCCTACCCAAAACAAAGGCAACAGCAGCATGAACTTCCAGTCAAACAACTATAGGAACAGGGCTAATACAGAGAGCCCAAATTTACGCTCAATAGTGGTTCTTACAACACTAAACATAAAGAGAGCAATCCTGCTATGAAATGAACATTATTTATTTGGAAGCATCACTAGTTAGTGTGGATATACATACAAAACATGCCCATCACTTGTACTGGAAGGATTTTAAGAAGCTTGTGATGGATCAAGGATGTGGCCGCTGAACAGCACCATTCCGGTCAGGTCTTCTTTGATGAGGAACATGAACGGGTGATCAGCTATGAAGTCGATCTTCTCGGCTACAAGCAGGCTTCTCAGAGCTATGACACCAACAGAAGCAGCTCCGGCTTCGGTGCCTTCTTCGTTCACTTCAATGAATGATTTGTGAAATATGCTCGACACGCTTAGGTTACTTCCAGCAGCAGAGGATTCCACCATCTCAGTCAAGTCTGCTTCGTTAGAGAAGGGTAAAACTAACCCTAATCCCTTCAGGGTGTTGGAAGCTTCGAATCCAAAGGAAATTTTGAACCTTGGAATCCTGAACTCGCCGACTTCTACCTTTTGCAGCGGGAGGTGGCGGTTCAAGAAATCAGACTCGGAGCCTGCTTTCTCGACCAATGCAGGCAAACCGTCTTTGGAGTCGGGAAGGAAGAAGTACATTGAGAACCGTCGTTTGTCTTCACCTTGCTTGTAAGGAAGGGACAAGACCTTGAAACCATCAAACTGGGAAACAAATTGCTTCTTCTTGCTGGTCATGAACGGGACTTTAATTGAGCTCCCACTCAAGAGGTGGAAGTCATGGTCCTTAGTAGCTGATGCATCAAACTTGTCATTCCAAGCACCTTTGAAGTAGAGGGCGTTGGCAAAAACGAGCCTAGTGGTGTTGTCAACTGCACCGGAAGGAAGAACTTCCTTGATAACTCCCTTGGTCTGTTTCTCAGCCCATGCATTTACTCCTTTAGCAACTTCAGCTGCCTTCATAGCCATATTTTAAGCATCAACATTAGCAGTAGGAAGGTATAAATCAAATTCAGGAAAATCACTGCAACGAAACCATATATACAAGGGTCAAGGAAAGCAAAACAAAAAACCTACATAACCTAAAAACTTCACCTTTCCTTTCACTCCCCTCATTTGAGTTAAGCTTCTTAACCATCAACAAAGCAAAATCACCACAACCCATTTCCTCACTTGAAGAATCATCAACAGGGTAATACAAACGAAAGCTATCAGTGGAATAAAGTTACCGAATCTAGGAAAACGCAAGTTCAAGCAATGAACAAAAAGCGATTCCCAAGTGACAAAAATAGAACGATCTATCAATTACTCTCGACTTCGAAATCAAGTGAGTACCTTGGTTTGAAAATCAACTTGATCGGAAGCAGCCTTGTAGACATTGTCCACAACATGTTCGAAAAAAGGCCTAAGAGAGATCGATTTGTCCACCCAAACCCCATTAGCGAAAGCCAAGTTCGGACCTCCAGCGCCGCTTCCGTCGGAGAAGACCACGGAGACGAGCTCGGAAGAGAATGCGTTGAGGTGCTCGACGGACTTGGTCTTCAGGTAAGAGAGCAGCTGATCCTGAGTGGGCCCCTTGGAGCCGGCAGCGATAAGGCTCAGCACGACGTCGATCGACACCGGGGAGAGCACGGCGTTGGAGTTCTTGGCTTCGGTCGTCAGCAGTACTTGTTTGGACAGCGACAAAGCGACGTCGGTTTGGCTGGCGATCAACTCGCGGAGATCCATTCTGGAATTTCTGGCGGCGGAGGAACGGGGGAGAGGAAGAAATGATCGGCAGAGGTTAATGAACCGTCTTCGGAAGCGAAGCAGCCAAGATGGGACGCGGAAACCCCGCCCTTCAGACGGCGCCGTTTGCATGGAGCGGATAAGCGAAATTCGGTAGACGCGTGGCGGAAGAACCGTGAGCTTTGCTTAGGCAGAAACCAGGGTGGTATTGTATGGTATTGTGTGGTATTTTTTGGTCCTGTAATTTGTTCACCCAGAAATTTGTAGATCCAGTAGATCATGATGAACTCATCCCTGTTGTGCAAACGTTTTCAAAAAAGAATTAAAAACGAAGAAGATACCATATGGTATGTAGTTGGTACCGAGAGGCCAGAATTTTTTTTTCCCTAAAAAAATATTGAAAATTGATCTCATTTTGTAGAGCACGGTGAACTCGTTCCATCTGTGCAAAAAAAAATTAAAATCCGAGTTAAAACGAAAAAGATATGAGTCAATTAAGAAAGCTAGTGAAAATAAAAATAGTCTTTAACTCTCCATCCTTAGATCTGGATTTTCTAAATTAAGGGTTCAGATTTGGTTATTGATGGGTGCATAACCCATGGTTATGCATCCTATCTTGAGCCAGCATGGTGTATCATATTATAGAAATGATGGGTTCTCTGCCTTGAGTTGAGCCCATTGTTTAATCTTAAAACATGTTTTATTAGCCCAAATAAATAAGGATGGGTTCTGGGCCTTGAGTTGAGCCCATTGTTTAATCTTAAAACATGTTTTATTAGCCCAAATAAATAAGGATCCCATTACCCCCTTTCAATATTCATGCGGCTTTATTGGCTCCGTGTAGCTAAAGGGTGCATCTGGTTCTTAACAAATAATCTGTGATTGATTAATTGATGTCCAAACTCCAAAGAGTTGTAAACTAATACCCAGCGGATCCGATTCGTGGCGCCACTACATAGAAACAAAGACAATGAGGCCAATTCGAGTATCAGACCTCACAAATGTTTTGATTTAATTTGGTCAATTTGGTACCTGACTTTTGATATTTATTCGTTCAATAATATACTTTATGTCCCATTTTCGCCACTCACAAGATTCCTACCAATTGGTCGTTCTAACTAGTGTTCATTAACATATTAAACCAAAATAGTTATCTTATCATTTTCAGAGTTTGCTATACCATACGCTTTCATGTGCATTTTGAGCTGACCGTTGAGGGTCGTTTGAATGGGTAAATTGTGAATGTGGTGTTTGTACGGTCAAATGATACATTATTTCATCATACGGTATTTCACATTTATTTGAGTTATATTGTGATGATGGAACTCCAACCATATTTTTTGGTTCAAAGGTTTATTTTGCACGTGATATTTCATAAATATAACTAAAAAAATACCATGTTTCTCTCAACTCATCCCAATTTCTAGAAACCCTTTTGTTGGAAACAAATCCTTATGTCACAGGGATTAGTGGAAGGCGCCAAAACCAATTTGAATTTGAGTATGCCTGTCTTTAGTTAAAACAACATCGTTTGTAGTTTGTCTGTCTGAATCCTTTATGTTTCAATCTATTACAAATAAGTCCTGAACAACTAGGTCTGATGTTGAGAGTTTGTAGCGGGTTAGTTGAGGGAGCTGGAAATCAACGTTGTGGATGTTAGTGGCCTGAGACAAATCTGTTGTTTGCAAACATGTCTGGGGTTTTGGGAAACACGAGGGTGATTTGAGAGGCATAATTGATATACCAGGGTGAGTGGAAAAATGTTTATCCAAGAGTGGTAATAGTCTGTGTGTACCGTCAAAATGAGTGAGGATGTTGGCTTTGCTCAGGTTGGCCTACCCAAGTTCGATGGAGACTATGACCACTAGAGTTTGCTCATGGAAAATCTACAGAGATCCAAGGAGTATTGGGGTGTGGTAAGTGATGGAATTCCAGAAACGACTGCTGGTGTGGAATTGTCTGCAACTGAGAACAAGAACATGGAAGACTTGAGATTTAAGGATCTCAATGCCAAGAACTACTTGTTCGGTTCCATCAACAGATATGTCTTGAAGATCAAGTAGCAGGGTAGTACTCCAGTCTACAAGGCACAACTGCAGGCTCTTAGGAGAACTTTTGAGGTACTTAAAATGAAAAAAAGTGAGGCTCTGAACGCTTATTTCAGTAGAGTATGGTTGGCTGATGATATGAGAAATTATGTCAAAGACATGCCTGATGTCAAAGTGGTTAAGATACTCAGAACCTTAACTGAGAGGTTCAACTATGTAGTGTGTTCCATAGAAGAGTTCAAAGATATAAGACTTCGTCCGTGGATACTCAGAACCTCTAACACCTGGTTCATGAGCAGAAGTTCCATAAAAGCACTATGGTAGAGGAAGATCAGGCTCTGAGAATGTCTAATGAACTGGGAGGAAGAGGAGGAAGATCAAATCGAGGTGGAGGCTATCAGGGTAGAGGAAGGGGAAGAGGTGTTGAGGCTGGAACAAAGATAATGTTGAGTATTCAAGTGTCACAGATTTCACCATTTGTGTTATGAATGTCAATACTGGAACACAAATGCTCAACATGGCTACTATGCACCAAATGACATGACTGATGATGTGCTGCTGATGGCTCTTCTTGAAGAATCTCACAAAACAGGAATGGCCTCTTCGTGGTTTCTAGACTCTGGTTGTAGTAATCACATGAGTGGGGACAAAAGCTAGTTCACTACCATGGATTGAAGCCACATTGGTCAAGTCAAGCTAGGGAATGACACTAAGCTGACATTAGTAGGGAGGTGCACAATGAACCTCCTGCTTGGCCGGCTAAATAGTTGGACTACAACTGACCTAAAACCTCATAGTTTAGAACATTTCTTTCATATTGAATACTTGAGGATATAAATGACATTTTTTGGATAGTTTGGATTTTGTAGTGAAATTAGCCCAAATTAAAATGACAACAACTTTTCTTGTCAAGACTAGCTAAACTTATTGTAGAGAGGTCTAACTACCTCCCACCACAAGTCACACAGGGTCACTACACCAAATGCCATTCTGATTACACCGAACTTCACCTGACAGCAAGAGGAAGGCGTAATCCATTTCTAGAAAACGAATACGAAAAACAGCAAGAGGTTTGCATTTCTTTCTTTCCAAATTTCTACTGGAGAAGCGAGTTTGAGAAAAATCTTTTACATGTGCGTGAAGGACAACATTGCTAGCTCTTGATGACTTCCTTCACCTTCTCCGGATGTGGGCCAAAGGTTCCCAAAACATTGAATAACAAAGACCATTATGTCACCACTCGAGATCCCACCATAAGTCACACAGGGTCACTACACCAAATGCCATTCTGATTACACCAAACTTCACCTGACAGCAAGAGGAAGGCGTAATCCATTTCTAGAAAACGAATACGAAAAACAGCAAGAGGTTTGCATTTCTTTCTTTCCAAATTTCTACTGGAGAAGCGAGTTTGAGAAAAATCTTTTACATGTGCGTGAAGGACAACATTGCTAGCTCTTGATGACTTCCTTCACCTTCTCCGGATGTGGGCCAAAGGTTCCCAAAACGTTGAATAATAAAGACCATTATGTCACCACTCGAGACACTACAACAAATTCGGCCTATTATGACGAGGCAATTTTGTCATATTAGATACCCATTTTGTCATATTAGGTATAATATATTAATATGACAAAATGTGTTGTCACAAAGCTTTGTCATTTTATCGCCGTCAAGATAGGTCAAATGTGACAAATTTCTAAAATAACGTTGTCATATTTGTTGTATGATATTGCGACATATTCTCGTGTCATATAATTGGTAAAAAACTGACGAATAGTTTTGTCACAATAAGAAAGGGTTTGTCACATTTGGACTTTGGCTTGTCAGTTCAGCTCATGTTCTAGTTAGTCTATTGTGACAAAATGAGCTTTTGTGACGAAATATTATGTCATTAGTTTTGTCATAATTTGATGATTTTGTCAAAATTGATATTCATATTACACGATCATACGATGAATATATTTTGACATAACTGCATATTATCTCGACGACCAGATCTGTGTCGACGACCCTTCTTTCACCTTAATCGAACCCCAAAAATAGCAATCTCCCATTTTCGCTCTCCACCTCCAGAATTGGAACCCCCAGCACAATATCCCCAAACCCATAAATTGAAACTCCCAAACAAAACAAAACCCAGCATTCAACACTCGTCCACCTCAATCGAACCCCAAAAGATCCCCCCAAACCCATCTTCGTAGGTTCCTTTCCCAACTGTCACCAACACGCTGCTCCTCTAGCAGTCGATCCACGTCGATGCACCGCAAACCGTCACTTCCATGGCGGATCTGGGATAATGTTGAAGAAGGCAGGTTGTTGACCCTAGAAAATCAAAATCATACCAGATGAACTGAGATGGATATTGGGGAAAGACAGACAAAATTAGAAGAGGGATTCTCTATACCTTCTCTGATCTGGTTCAGTGTAGGAAACCTGCCGAGTCTCCGAGTTGCGACAGAGTCAACTACCCGCGTCATCGAGCCGAGACTAAGTCATCCCCTCGAGTCGCGCAAGTACTTTGTCCAGAATCGCTCCTCGGCATAGGATCGAAGCTTGCAAACGGGTTAGAAGTTCATCGGCCAGAATCGCCAGTGCCTTCCACGTCGCTGTATCGCAACACTGGAGTTGAGGCCCAGTACGCAATCGACCTGCTATGTGGGATATCAAAGGTCGGTGCTGCCAGAGATGGTGTTGGTTGGATCTGTGTGACGGAGCCAGGGAGGAGAGCATTCGTTTAGGGTTTGTGGGGCGCCGATTCTGAGATAGGAGGCGAAGTCATTTGATTGGGGAAGAAGAGAGAGTAATATAAAGGGATACAGATGGAGGTGAATTAATTGCAAACAAATAAAGACAAGGTAAAGTTGATTACCGCGAAAAACTTAAAATTTGAGGAATCTCAAAATTTGAAAATTTCAATTTTCCTCCGCCAAAACAGAAGTGAAAGTTTGGGAGGCAAACTCAAAATTTTTTGGTTTTGAGTTGGTTCCCAAGAAACCGACTTCAAAATGTCTTTTGTCTAACACAAGCTAATCTGACGAAAATGCCTTTTGTCAAAAACGATACCACTATATTATGACGAACATGCCTTTTGTCAAAGCCGAAACCACTATATTATGACAAACATGTCCTTTTGTCAGCTCGTCGTAGGATTATTGCTATCTATTGTGAAATTTTTTTTGTCACATTACTCACTTTAAATGACAAACGATTCAGACTACAAGAAATTTGTCACTATTGAGTCTCTTATATCCCGATATGGGACGCCTATTTTGACAAAATTAATTGTGACATGAAATATTTGTCACATTACTCACTTTAAATGACGACTTATTCTGACAACAGTATTTTTGTCCCATTAGGTATACCAAATAGGACATATATTATTTTTGTCATATAATAGTACCTATTGTGACAAAAAGGAAATGACAAAATAATTTTTTTGTCCTAATAGGCCAAATTTGTTGTAGTGAGAGGAACCAACCGAGGGTTCTGGACATGGCGTGCCATAAACCAGTTGGTTCCAATAACTTGAGTTGTTGAGAGAGGTCCATGTATGTTACTTAACCACTTCCTTACACGTCCCATCAAACGAAAGCGAACCCATGGAATTGAAGTATGCAAAGGCCCCCTCATACCATGTGCTTTAAAGATTACAGTTAATATTGAGGGTCGTGAGGACTTGAACACGTTACCTTAAGGACAAACCAGCTCAGATACCATGTCATAAACAAGTTGGTCCCAATAACTCAAGTTGTTGGAAGATATTGATGCAATTTATAATAGATCGGGTCAAGAATGAAGTGGATTGGGTAATACCTGCCCATACAGGTAGGGACAAGTGAGGTCGTACGGATCAGGTCGAAAATTGCCATCACTATGAATAAGCAAAGGAAAGAGAGGGGCACACTTGGAGAAATAAAAGTTTAGCACGTTATTTGTAACTAACACTCCCTTCCCAAGCATTATTCGGAATAACTCACTAAGAGTTCTTCGAGAAAAAATTATTTATAATAATACTGCATCCAAACTACCTCTAAATATAAAATTTAATTTATATACTGAAATGTGCCGGATGAAAAGATTTGTGGGTCTCGAGTAACATGTATCTCTGTCTAAAATGAATCAGCATATCATGACAATTAAAATAAAAATAATTTAACTATTTTAATCTAAATTAGCCATTGTGTTACATTGTACCTGATATAATTTATATTCTAGCACGACAAAGGACAAACTCTAAATTTCCTTAAAACAAAAAATTTTCTAATTGAAATGATGATATGATCCTGAATTGGTTCATTGTCGAGCTAGAATTACTTGCCAAAGAAGTCAATCCAAGTCATTTGAATAACATGAAGTTGTGGCTAAGCCAATTGCCGTGCTCAAGTAGCCTACTTTGGAGGCAGATTTATTTCAATTGGCTAGATGAAATGGTGCATTTGAAGGCTTATCATGAACATAAAACTTTATTCTATTCGATGGTGGGCTTGGTGGAGCAAGACAAGGTGCTTAAGGACATTATCCAGGTGTGTAAACATGCTAGAGAGCAATCTGAAAACTGCCAGAAAACGGCCAAGGCAGGAAGCTGTGTTGAGGAAGCTACTTTGAGACTCTATTCGACACATATGGATGATAATCGAGTTAGGAGCTTCCTTCCACATGAAAGTATGCATGTCAATCTACAAAGGAGGGGCATTGGTTAATTCATAGCATACGTGGAAGACTCCCATCGAGTGGCTCAAAGATGGTATGGAGGCCTTTTTGGTGACTTGAGCAAAAGGCAGAGTTGGAATCCTTGTTGCATTCAGATTCGTTTGTTTTGAGTTTCCTTGTTGGTTTTAGCTTCTGATTTCGTTTTAGGTTAAATTGTAACTATATTTAAGCATCACAAAGGGTCTGTAACATTATTCATCGATTGATTAAGAATTAAAAACCCTAAAACTAAGTGTCTTCGCTAGTTTTTGGTTGAGAGTTTGGCCGAGAAAACCAAACTCGAATCAAGCTCTTGTATCGATCAAAATCGCATTGATCGTGGGCGAGCATCGACGTATAGTTGCTGAGCCTTCCTCCAGGTGAAGGATTGCACACAACTTCCACCAAGTTTGTTCTTCCTCATCGGCAGAACACCAAATCCAGTTCCGACGAGCTCAACGCAAGGGAAGAGCTTGACTTGTAGCTCTTGTTGTCGAACAAATCAAATTAAGACCCCCAGGGGCTTATCAAGTGGCATCAGAGCCTTAGGTTCAACGCAGTGGCAAAGAAGATTTCAACGAAGGAGGGCGTTGCCAACGCAGCGCCTTGGACGAGGTCAAGGGGCCCTGTTTCAGGTGACCCCGAGGTTCTGATTTTGGAGCATCAGGCGAAGAAGAAGCAGGCGGCTATGGGGGATCAGCAACCTATTACAATGGCGGCCTTACAACAATTGTTCCAGGAGCAGTTTGCACAGGTTAATCAACAATTGGCCGACCTTCAATTGAGGGTCCCTGCTTTGCCGGCAAACGAGCAGAGGAACCAGGGAAATCCTCTCCAGAATCGTGAACTAGAGGGTGTCAATCGAGACTTGTTGGCACGAATTGAAGAACTGGAGCAACGGGTTGTGGTGGCTGAACCAAATCATCGCCCAATCCCAGGCCGTCGTGAACACAGGGATCGGCGACTGGAAACCGAACCTGCTCTTCCTCAGGGAGTTAAACTGACGATCCCAACGTTCCAAGGAACGATGAACGCTTCCACCTATCTTGATTGGGAACGTAAGATGATCCTGTTCTTTCGTTGTGGACAATTCAGCGAGGATCAAAAGGTAGCAATGGCCACTTACGAGTTTTCGGATTATGCTGCCCAATGGTGGGAGCAAATCCAAATTCGCCGGCAACGTAACCTGCAAGCTCCAGTCGAAACGTGGGATGAATTGCGAGGCTTGATGAGGGAGCGCTTTGTCCCAGCCTCTTACCTACGCGATCTACATGATACGCTGCAAGGAATTCGCCAAGGATCGAGGAGCGTCGAAGAGTATTTCAGAGAATTGGAATTGCTCTTACTCCGGGCAGACGTTCGAGAAGACAGGGAGGCTACGATTTCGCGTTTTTTACATGGCCTGAATCGCGAAATTCGACAGGAGGTGGAGTTGAGGCCGTTTGCCGACCTGGAAGAGGTTGTGCATCTCGCCGTCAGGATCGAGAAGCAGCAGAAGACGGCGACAGGACGACGGTTTTCTCCTGCAGCGAAAACCGGAGCAGAGCCGCCAGCTGAACCCACTCTGCCTCTGCCACGAACCGACGCGGTGCGACTAGCCCCCCGTAACACCAATCCCATTGTAAATGAACGTTCTGGGACGATCCAGTGCTTCAAGTGTCACGGACGGGGACACAAGGCTAATCAATGTCCTAATTCTAAGGCCTTGATTCTCCAGGATGGAGAATACGTCACCGACGATGAGGAGCAGCACTCTGATGACGACACAACCGACGAAGAGATTGAAGTAGAGAAGGCTCCGACTGGGAAGCTTCTGGGAGTCAGCAGGAGAGCCCTCACGGCTGAGGCTTCCCCGGATTCAGACCAACGTAAAAATCTGTTTCACTCGCGGTGTTTGGTTGCCGGAAAATTGTTGTCCTTAATCGTCGACGGCGGCAGTTGTGCCAATGTCATTAGCCAGGACGCAGTGTCCAAGCTTGGGCTGAAGACATCGCGACACCCTGAGCCATACAATCTCCACTGGTTGAATGATTATGGGGCAATCCGAGTGACCAAGAGAGCCAAGGTGAGTTTTGAAATCGGGCGGTATCAAGATGAACTTGATTTTGACGTAGCTCCGATGCAAGCTGCTCATGTGTTGCTTGGGAGACCTTGGCAATTTGATCGTGGTGTCTGTCATTATGAAGGCACGAACCAGTACAAGGTTCGGCATAAGGGGAAGAAGTACTTGCTGGAGCCCTTATCCCCGAATGAAGTCTTAGAAGACCGGCGACAATTGGAAGCTCATCGGCGGCGTGTGAAAGACGAGTCTGAAGAGGGACGTTCAGAGGAAGCTGAGAAAGGAAACGGCGTGATCCGGCGGCTAATGCTAACGGGTTATAAGAGGCTGAAAACGCTTCGACCTCGCTGGCGCTGTTCAGACTCGCCGGAGCATAGTAGGAGAGAGGGTCAAACGGGTGGAGCTCTTGGGGATGAACCGATCCACTCAAATGACATCATTGTGTTCCCTACAGCCCCGAGAAGCTCTTCCATTGACAAAATCGAGCTGATCCCTTCTGTCTTGCAGGACTCCATTCGAACTTATTCTCCTCTGCAACTACCCACGAACAAAAGAAAAGCGGCCGAATGGGATGAGAAGATCCAGCTCTATTCGAACCAAGTGAATGATGTGGAACCATCAGGGAAGATCCCAGGAAGCTTTTGGAGTGATCAATTGGTGCTGGGGATGATCGAAGTTGAAACGCCCAAACCAAAATCTCAAATCCTGGGTTTCCAGAATTTGAAGTCGGCTAGAGGCGGGAGGAATGAAAATGTCGAAACGACACAAATGGCGACGAGTCGAGCCCAAATGCTGGGGCAGAATTTCAATTCGAAGCTCGACGGATCCATTGGTGACCAGGAATTGAGCTGTCGATCCCCGGAAAAGAAAGCCCCAATTCGTCGAATGAAGAACAGTGACCAGATTTTCCAGAATTATAAGTTTGGGTTGCCCACTTTCGATCCCATTTGGGACCAATTCTGTGCCGACTTTGAGAAGCGAAGGGTACCAGCTTTGAGGACAAAGCTTTTTGAAGAGGGGGAGCCTGATATGATCCTGAATTGGTTCATTGTCGAGCTAGAATTACTTGGCAAAGAAGTCAATCCAAGTCATTTGAAGAACATGAAGTTGTGGCTAAGCCAATTGCCGTGCTCAAGTAGGCTACTTTGGAGGCAGATTTATTTCAATTGGCTAGATGAAATGGTGCATTTGAAGGCTTATCATGAACATAAAACTTTATTCTATTCGATGGTGGGCTTGGTGGAGCAAGACAAGGTGCTTAAGGACATTATCCAGGTGTGTAAACATGCTAGAGAGCAATCTGAAAACTGCCAGAAAACGGCCAAGGCAGGAAGCTGTGTTGAGGAAGCTACTTTGAGACTCTATTTGACACATATGGATGATAATCGAGTTAGGAGCTTCCTTCCACATGAAAGTATGCATGTCAATCTACAAAGGAGGGGCATTGGTTAATTCATAGCATACGTGGAAGACTCCCATCGAGTGGCTCAAAGATGGTATGGAGGCCTGTTTGGTGACTTGAGCAAAAGGCAGAGTTGGAATCCTTGTTGCATTCAGATTCGTTTGTTTTGAGTTTCCTTGTTGGTTTTAGCTTCTGATTTCGTTTTAGGTTAAATTGTAACTATATTTAAGCATCACAAAGGGTCAGTAACATTATTCATCGATTGATTAAGAATTAAAAACCCTAAAACTAAGTGTCTTCGCTAGTTTTTGGTTGAGAGTTTGGCCGAGAAAACCAAACTCGAATCAAGCTCTTGTATCGATCAAAATCGCATTGATCGTGGGCGAGCATCGACGTATAGTTGCTGAGCCTTCCTCCAGGTGAAGGATTGCACACAACTTCCACCAACTTTGTTCTTCCTCATCGGCAGAACACCAAATCCAGTTCCGACGAGCTCAACGCAAGGGAAGAGCTTGACTTGTAGCTCTTGTTGTCGAACAAATCAAATTAAGACCCCCAGGGGCTTATCAAATGAGGGTGATCACAATCAATTGACAAGTACTAGAGATTTTATTAAGTGTGGATTTGATGTTGAGTCCACCTATAAGTTGCTTGTGAGGTCTCTTAATCTCGACAATAACTACTAATAACCATAAGAATGTCTCAACTGTGTTTCCACACAAATAGGCAATAGCTCTAGATGGGACCTTATAGATAACCTGAGTGGGTGAGCGGCTGCTTCTTCACTTTGATGTAATTAGCAATAGCATCATTTTTGGTACGTTGCGTAGAGAAGGGAGAGATTAAGAAATGATTCCCACTTGTTGGGTGGCTGGCGGTATCAATTTCGGTTGATTAAAATAAATGCATCCCTTTTAATTAATTTCGGTCCTTCCAACAAGACGAGAAATGGTGATCAACTCTCACTTCTGACGCTTCACTAGTTGCAGCTTTCCCTCTCCCATGTCGCAGCACAATATTACTCTTGCTTCAGAGCAGCAGCAGCAGCAGCAAACTGCTCTCCCCGTGCCCCAAAATCTTCATCCGTCTGTCCCCAAACAACGGATGAGGCCGCCGGTAGGAGGAAATAGAGCCGTTCTCTTCGTGTTCGGTAAGTAATCCCAATACCCATTTGGTTTCCAACCGCACTCTACTCCATTTCTTAAATTTGTTACGTAATTTCACTTATATTTTCAAGTTGAAAGGGTTATAACCCCTCCTGACTTCAACCTAATTCGGTTACTACGTGGCTGATTCATATTTTCTGTACGCGTCGGATATGGATCGAATCAGGTTATGCCGGGCTGGAAAATATGGCGTTCATAGCCAACGCGTTGAGCATCTTCATCTACTTCACCTCCGACATGAACTTTAGCCTGACCAAGTCCGCCACCGCGGTCACCAACTTCATGGGCACGGCCTACCTCCTCGCCCTATTCGGCGGCTTCCTCTCCGACACCTACCTCTCCCGCTACGCCACGTGCCTTCTCTTCGGAGTGATCGAAGTATTTGGGTACTCCCTGTTGGCAGTCCAGGCCCACTTACCTCAGCTCCGGCCCAATCCATGCCAGCCCAACAACACCACGGCGGCCCAGTGTGAGCCCGCCAACGGGGCCCAATCTGCGTTTCTGTTGGTCGGGCTCTACTCGGTCGCGATAGGCGCCGGCGGGGTGAAGGCGGCTCTGCCGCCGTTCGGGGCCGACCAGTTCGACGCCAGGGACCCGAAAGAAGCGGGTCGGCTCGCCAGCTTCTTCAACTGGTATTTTGTCAGCTGTACGGTGGCGGCGGCGGTTGGGGTGACTCTCATCGCGTGGGTGTTTGCCAACCATGGTTGGGACTTGGGGTTTGGAATCTGTGGGTTGGCTGTGTTGTGCGGGGTCGTTCTGGTTTTGTTTGGGAGGCCTTTCTATCGAATCGATGCTCCCGAGGGAAGCCCCTACGTTAGAGTTGCACAGGTAAATAGATCGGACTCATTTGGAGTAAGTATACAATTGACGATCAGTTGAATGTGAAGGTGTTCTTTTTTTTATGGTTGTTAGGTGTTTGTGGCCGCTGTTCGAAACAGGAAGCTTCCAACACCAAAGATGGATGATGTGTTGTTCGAGAGCGTGGAGAAGTGTGTAGAAGATGGGAGTAATGGTGAAATTCTTGGTAGGACTGATCAATTCAGGTTAATTATGAAACCCCTTAACTAATTGTGGTTTCGAGCTAGTTGTTTAGAAGTAGAACTGCTGAACTGGCAATGGTTAATGGGTTGACTTAATTCGTTGGGTCATTTGACTTTAAATGTCATATTGTATTAGATTGGATACATATATTTTGGATTTGGGTTGGTTCAAATTTGCACCCGATGGATTTATTTGGATCAAGATGAACGTTAAGAAAAAACAAAATCAACTATTTCACTAACTGTTTTCAACCTAATTCACACTTTTAAATTTAATGTTGGTCTTAGCACTTTTCTTTTAATTTCAAAACGAAAAAATGCAAATTCGCATTAGGATCGGGTATACATTTTCTTTTGGATATCCAATATAATTACAATAATAATTTAGGTTCAAAACAAAAGGTTGGTTTTTGCTCTGTTCAAAAGGGGTATTTGTTCGACCCGGATTAGTACCGGGGATTAGTGTGGAACCTTGATCCGGACTCCCTCGTCTGATCTCCTCGGGAGTGGAAGAAACCTGTGGAGAGTCGGGGGCGGCCCCCGTGATCTACACTCCGACGATCAAGTTAGAATAGATAGATGATAGAGTGTAGAGAGAAATGTAGAGAGAGATAGGGTTTAGAGAGAGAACCATAAGTGGTAAAGTGAGGGAAGGGAGAGAAGAAGTCCCTTTGCTTGGAGGGTCTGGCCTCCTTATATAGGAGCCGGAGGCATCCTATGGACGCCTCCCGTTGTCATGGGCGCCCCCGGTAGACTGGTCGCCTCCCATCGATGGGCGCCTTCCGGTAGCCTGGTCGCCTCCCGTCGATGGGCGCCTTCCGGTGAATGGACGCCCCCGGGTAGGCTGGACGCCTCCCGGTGATGGACGCCCCCCGGACTGGACGCCTCCCGGTGTACTGGACTCTAGAATGGGCTTGGGCCCAATGTGAGACGCTTTGTGGTGGGCTTGGGCCCGTATTAGGCGGGTTAATACTAGACCCAACATTTGCCCCTTTGCTTCTTGTATTCTGTAAGAATGGAAGGAGTAAAATAATGCGTTAAGGTGTATTAACTTGCCTTACTTGCGAGTCCGCACGATGCGGTTTTGCCCCTTGTGCGGCTTTGCCCCTTGTACGGCCATTGCTTGTTGATGGACGCCTCTCGATGGTTGAGACGCCTCTCGGTGATGGACGCCTCCGGTGATGGGCGCCCACGAGTGGACTGGACCCTTGCGGGTCCAAACGATGCGGTTTGCCCCTTGTGCGACCATTGTCTTTGCTTCTTAGCTTAGCATTCGATGTCTTGAGTTAGAGCTCTCAAGTCGTTTGAGATTTCCCCACTAGACCATTGCTGAGCGTGCTAATATGTAGGCCGTAACTGTGAGCTGTATGCGTTAAGCTGTTGGACCGCGAGATGGGCATGAGCTTGTGTGCATGTTAAGCGTAAGTTGTTGGCTGAATATTAGGCGTTAGCTATGTGCTAGGGAGGGCGGCCCCCACGACTTGAGAGTTTTAACTCAAGGCGGCGTTTTTGTTTTGAAGATGCCACACCTGCTGGGAGGCGGGATCGTGTTTCTAGCCATACCGATGTCACGCCTACTGGGAAGCGGAATCGGGCTTCTACGTAGAGGGGAAACATCACTGAGGAAGAGGGATGCGGTTTTATATCTGCGAAAGATGTGAGCGACTAGTTCCCAATATACTTAGAGTTTAAATATGAGCATAGGATGTGGAGAGAAATATCATAGTATGATATTAGTGGCGGTCTTCATAGCATAGTATTTGAATATATCTTAAAAGGAAGTACTTAGCTTGAGAATAAGTTGTAGAAGACAGCTGGGAAGCGATATAAGTAATAGGAGTCGCACTTCATTTCTCAAAGCAGTCTTGTAGTGCAGTGGTGTGCGCTTTGAGTTGGACAACGCTGGACGCCAGTTCGAATCTTGTTGGCCGCATTTATTTGTTTTTGTTGTTGAAGTCGCTTCACTTGGTTGGGCCATCTAATAATGGGCTGCTCTGGCAGTTGTGAATACGAAGCGGGCCAGATGCGGCCCCATTAGACGAAAGGCGGGATTTGGAAGCGGGCCAGATGCGGCCCTATTAGACGAAAGGCGGGATTTGAAGCTGAAATGCTGGAGGCATGCCAGGCTTAGACGGCGAACCCAAGTTGTGGACTTGGAGTGCGTTTGTTGGGATGACGTGACGTGATGGGGTGGTCCGTGCGGTTGGTGAAGAACGCTCGACTGGTTGAAGCGGTTATAAAATACAAGGCTGACGGACACTTTCGCATAAAACTCCTTGTAGCCTGTTGGTTGATGCGTTTAGTTGCTTCTTCTCGGTCTTTGGTTCGAATCCTTTCAGCATCGTTTTTGTTTCCTTGTGTTGCTCAATTTCAAGGCGGGCTTTCACGGGCTCCCATGGTAGGTGGGCCAACTTGGGCTGTCTGGAACATTATGCGGGCTAGGCTTCTGCTCGGGCATTAGCAGAAAGCGGTTTTCTTTCTTTGGGCGGTCTTTGTGTGGACTATGCTCTGAAGCGGCCCAACTGTGAGCCGTCAGCGGGATAGAACCGGATTTGAGACAGGCCCACGTGGTGGGCTTTGAGGTGCATATGCAGGTCAGGGCCGCAAAGCAGGCGTCAAGTCGAGTTGTCACGCAAGGGGAAGTGGGGAACATATATACTAAAAGTTTCAGTACGTGCCTGGTGGATCCAAACGGCAGTCTCTGACTGAAGATGGGCGGCCTTGTGGAGAGGGCTTAGCCCAGATTCGCAGGTGAAATAGCGTTGGAATTGTTTTCCTTTGCGGTGTCGACCGCTTTGTCTTTCTCCGTTTGGCCTGCTTCCTTGTTTCTTTTGCTTTTTTCCTCTTCTGACAGAGAGAGAAATTGTCTCTCGGTTTGCGATTTTGCCACTGCTGCAGGGAAGAACTGACTTTTGGGAAGTCGACACGTTTGGGGAAGAGTGTAGGAGTTTGACGTTGACTGCGGCAGAGACTCTCCTCTTTGATTTGGCCCGAGCTCCGACGCCAAGTACGGCGCCGGCAAGAAAGCGAGGTCACCAGAATCGGGGAAAT